GACTGCAATGTTCTTCATCCTTGTGGTTTTGAGATCTGCGCCTCTGTCAAACGTCCCCCTCTTATACTTCACAAGACATTGTGCAAAATACCCATTTATGAATCACTGTTTAGTGATTTATAAAGGGGTATTTTCTAATACTGGTGTGTCATTGTTGATAGAGTTGGGAAACTTCAAACTCTAAAGTCTAACAAGTGAATAAATAAAACATTTGTTTACTTCACTGTAAAGTAAAGTTCACAAAGTGCTGTTGAACCTGATTAAATGGGGCATCGTGTTTTTATAGCTATCTTGATAAATATTAAAAGTCATTAAAATATTCTTCTTCTGCTGTGTTTATTTGAAGACGTTACGTTTGATTTATTTGGTACATGAAAACCATCACTCGTCTTACTGTAGCTCCAGACCAGAGACCAGACCAGACCTGTAAGAGGTCACCTCACTCTGGTTAGAGACAAATCTACAGCTTTGTTCTTAACGTCTGTCTCCACAGCGCAGGGAATAAATCTCATCTGAACCAGACACAGAATTGGACCTGAAAGAAATGTTTTCCTCATCACATAAGTTGCTTGTCATCTATTTCTCATATTGTATCTTTGAACAGCTCTGAGCTTCTATTGTCTGTGTATGCACTGTGACATGACCTCATCTGTATGTCTCTGCAACACCAGGACTTGACTCCTGTTTTACATTAATTTAGCATTTTTAACCAATCTCACCAGGATTCCATACATGATGAATCTGGCACAAACACAGCAACGAGTAAACAGATATTGATACAATCCACTACACTGGAAATCCTTGCTTGCAGCACATGAAAAAATAATAACGCAATAAATGACGCTTCGACATAGATTTACTAAAACAAAAGCTTTTTAATTCCACAGACAAAGACATGATGAACAAGAAATAGCTCGTAACCCTTTTAGATGTTTTAGTGTTGAGCCCACAATCGTACAAAGAAACATCATTTGAAACCACGTATGTATTCCTGACCTATAAAGTGACTAAATATGTACAAGGAAGTCAATAAATTAGCTCGTGGACTATAAATAAACAGTAAGTATGTTTAATGTGCATCGTCAACTCAAGTGTAAGATACGGACATGTGCAAAAAGAAGAACCAGCTTCCTGTGTAGGACAAGTGTTGATAGGAGGTAGAGCAGAGTTTGGTTAAAGGTCTCAGGGAGCGTGGAGGCCTCATGTCGACCGCCTCCTCGATGGCGCCTCCTGCTGGCTGCTATACAGCATTGCAGCTCGGGACTCAAAGGCATTGACCATCTGTTTAACCACTTCGTCAAAGAAGATTCTGGCCAGCTGAGAGTGCAAAAGAGACTTGACCTCAAACGAAACCTATAGAGGACACAGGAGGGGGACAAACAAGTTAGTGACTTTATTGTATAAATCACAACCAGAGACGTCTTTGGCTGAGTTCAAAGTCGCTTTTGACCGTCAGACTTTCCCTTCCTTTAAATGTCCATCTTATCGAACATGTTCTACTGAAATCTAACTGCTTCCTTGTTGACCCTGAGGTCATCCGAGACAACACTTTTGCTCAAACCGCCTCCCAGCAGCTCCTTTACTCAGTTCCCTGCCAGCTATTTCAGGCCTCCTGGGACACGAGTGTGCTACTGGAGATCAAATTTAGAGCATAATGAGATTTTACCCTTTGAGTCAGTCATCCATTCACAACAGTACAGGAGCACAGACCTGGAATGAGTCTCTCTTTAAGCATGCGATCGGATCCCTTAAGTCCCATGGGAAAGTTACCGTATTTTGATCAGTGGGTTTGTTTACAATAATAATGTCGCTGCTATTTGACTCATTTTATTTGTTTACATTATTCTATTTTCATTGCAGAGTTCTACTTCAAATTCCAACGACTGAGGCTGCTGCAAAAAACGGATTTACACTTACATAGAAATCCACTTTGCAGGAGGATGGTCGGTCTTGGTCTGCAGGGGCAAACTTCCATATTGTTTCAAGATGGCTGAAGAGGGATCCGTCAATACACACGGCCTGTTACAAAAGAAAGGACTCCTTCATCATCGCTGACTAAGGCAATACGCTGGGTGGATTGTTTTTGAGAGAATAATATTTGAAATGTTTGTTTTCTGGAGCTACCAGGACTGGGGCTTACCCTGACTTGGTGGTTTGGGACGACGGTGACCTCAGAGGTGTAGCGCTCCACAATGGGGGGGAAACCTATTTCGAGGTCTGCCCGGACGTCACCGCTCTGTCCCTTGGTGACGCGAGACTTCTTGCACCAGGGAACAAAGTGCTGGTACTGGTCCACGCTGGCCACCACATTGTACATCTGCTCTGGAGAATACCTGAACACACACACACACACACACACACACCTGATGAGACCGTGTCACCGCTTCAACATCATTTCACGTATTTAATTTAATTTCAGTGGTCTTAAACACATTGCACATCATTTCGGGGCACTCACCCTAATGTCCGGCACTCGGTGTACTCTATCCTGCGTGTGCTGGTGGGAAAAGCCAGGTTGATGAAGCTGCGGCTGGGTGTGCTGGCGGGGACGCAGAGAGGAAGGCCGGCCCTCCTCGCCGCCGGGGCCCCACAGGAGCCCCACGAGTGTCTTCTGAAGGGGGGGGGGGGGGGAAGACATTAATGAGTTTGTGTGTTAATACAGTGAGGGGGACCTGTGACATCTGAGTTTACCCCTCAGTATTTTAGGTTGTAAATTCCCAATAGGGCCGTATGAGCATCTATTCAAGTGAAAGCTAAGCATTCATGAACATCTCTTCCCCCCCCCCATCCCCTCCTCCAGTGCTTCTCCGCTGAGGAAACCTAGGTGCATAACTACCACAAGAGGGAGAGAGGACCGAGTCTCGTGACTGTAAGTTGAACCGTTCACTCGCGCACATCCCCCACACAGTACCCGTGAACACGGTAACGACAAACCAGCTCCGGAAATTTCAAGAAAAAAAAAAAAGGCAGTTTAACGTCTAAAATGACACCAACCGCTATATTTCGATAAACGCGCGTGACTAATGACATTCAACTAAAACTTCTGTCTTCAGTATTTCACCGAACGTTAGGTTTTCGTTTTCGTCTCCGTCGGGGGGGGGGGGGGGGGGGG